TATTTGCAATTTTACCTACTAAACTGATGATGAAAGCATTCTAGACTATTTTATTAGAAAATGAACCAAAACATACCAATAGATATTGCTTTCTCCAAGCACTCATATGTACACTGCACCAACCGTCGAGATTCTTCATCAACATTTCCCACAAAATATGTTTCATTAAGATCAGCTGCACGATGTGTTAACCTCAGTCAAAGAATTGACCAGTATCATTAGCAACACCTGAAGCAATTTACAGAAAGGTATTGGACTTCTTACCGTGGACACCTTTACAGTATACAGACACATCAACATTGACAATGTCACCATCCTCTAATTTCCTGAAGCAATTGAAAATATCAGCAGAAGTTGCACTAAAGCTAAAAATGGTAATAAAGAACAAATTAATTTATTATAAATGAAGAATTAATGAAACCTAACCCTTCCAGGGTGGAGATTTTACAAGTAGAGAATATTAGCATATCAGTTTCACCCTAAAGACTCAAGACAATTCTACAAAGTTCAATAAAGCATACATTTACTGCCACCAAGTTCACATGCAGTAAACATAATGCCAACTCTGATAGTGAGAGAGACATTTGGCAGAGGATTTAAAACAGTTGTTAAGATGTCAGACATAAGTCACAAGCTGAATTTAAGAGAAACCTGGCATCAGGAATTCCATGGCAGATCACTTCATTAACTGACCTGAAACAAACAGACACTTAATCAACATATTTTATCCTAGCATATTTACAAAGAACATAAGTAGGATGTACCTACGTGCAGCAAGACTTGGGGAAAAACCTATAGTTGAGTGGAGAAGGATATCCACCTGGCAGCCATAAAATCCAAGTTATGTTAAATGCAAACAACCATTGGCAAATGAGCAGACTAACATGCTCATGTTGAGCACATACCAGCAGCAATAGTAGCCTCATGAACCACTCTATCAATTTCATCAGTTGTGACACCAGGACAAATAATCCTAGCCGCTGCATCTAAAACCTCCCTAGCAATCTGACAATAGTATTTGAAAAATAAAATGTGTGTATAAAATACAAATTATTTTAAACATTAAGAATCAATACAAGTGCCTTCAAGAGCACAATCAAAGCAGGGGGAAGGGACTTACCCGGCAAGTTTCTCGCAATCTCTCAATCTGATCTTGAGTCTTGATCTTCAAAACAAACATATCAACATTAAAGAAGGTGAAAAATAAAGAACAAAAGGAGCAGATTTCCTAGTCTGCTGGCAAAGCAGTTTGAGAGATTGCTGCTTAAAAAACTCTTCAGGTATAAACCAACCTCAACAACATACTGCAACTCACTGTTGGGCTCAATTTTTGGGATCCCCTACACGTGGCAAGATACAGTCAAAATCAAAGAGAAAAATATTCATAAGATAAGCCCACATATACAGAAAAGGTTCTCCACTCAAATTTCTGAATGTATTATTCATTAACTCACATCAACTGCCCAGTCAGGTTTATCAATGTGAGCAGGTACAATACGATTTCTGGATATAGGAAATGGCCTTAGTGTCCTGAATATGAAG